GGGCCAAATGACCAAAGGTCAGCGCTGTATCCACTTTCGCTGAATTCCATCGTAATATCGGGGGAGTGGATAGATGGATGGAACGTCAATACGAGAGCGCACCTCAACGCCTCGGAGTGTTGCCGCGCTGTGAAATGAGCGTCGGTATTGTTGGAGGAAGCGGCGGGCACGCTGTGATCCGCTCTTCGCGATAGGCTATCTCGCTAAATAAAACAAGGTGGAAAAATAATGAATATGCATGGCATTCGCCACGCTTGTGAACGTTTTACCTCGGCGGTATTTAATTTGAGTGCAATCAAGTTAGCACTGTTTTCTGTACGGCGAGTCCCGTCACGCGACACAAACTTACGCTCAGAATATCGCTCGTATTGAACCCATCCTCAAGGGAATTACTGTGACCCCCTGCTGTGGGCAGACAGATGGATGGATCTAATGCTTAATGCTTTCAACCTTAGTTGGAAAGCATTAAAAATGGGCGTTTGCCCAGCATGGAAGGGTAGGCTAAATGTCTTTGAAATAGCAAGCCTTCCCCACTGTTATTTGAACACAATACATACGGCATCCATATTGCTTTGTCCACACGCTGTAGATAAGGTGCTGGCATTTACACAGCCAGGGGTCACGTGACACATCTCTTTCTTTCAGGAATACGTTTTGTTTGGCTTCAAGCCTGCCTTTGGCAGCTGCTGTTTTACAGTCAATGCTTCTTGGAGCCTGATCCCATCCGATTTCAGAAGCTCAGGATGATTTTTCCTCCTGCTCAGTGGCCGGATAAGCGCTCGCTGCGGAAACGTAGAAGTCACTGCAGAGTCATCGGTATTTTCCGCGGAAGCAATGTCGGTGCATGGCACTGTCAACCCGAGTTCAATTCCTGACCATGGCTAACGTCGCTTCACCGACTTGCACTGGTCAGCGTGGTGAAGTGTGGTCAAACAGCCCCCGTGGCTGACACGGCGTGGGGAGACTGAATTAGTATTACCGTTCATCTGTTGCCGATCAGTAGTGCTTGGTAACTCTTACGTACCCTAGCACAGAATTACGATTTGTTTCCTTTAAAAAGATGTGTTAATATAGTCATTATAAATTAATCTATAGCCCTTTCCCAATCCACTGCTGGATTAGGGCCTGTTCACACCAAACCATTTATGGGAGTTGTTTTACTGTACTTCAGCCTCCGGTTACAAGTAAAAGGCATGTAGCAAAGCAAGCAAAAGCGACCGTGACGCAGACGATCCGACGTGCGAGTCCTGGGAACTTGAGAATCTGGCGCAGTCGATGAGTCTTTCGGGCACATCTGGGCTATGATATGTGGCCAGGTCGCTTTTGAAAAAGAGCTACATAGGTCAGTGGGCCTTACCTGGTCAAATAAAGATAGTTTAGTTTTAACGCTTCTCAGCCGCGTTGATATCTTTTCTCACGTTCGCACCGCGTAACTCCGAGAGAACAGTCCAGCTCGTCGGGAGCGCCATCGTCGCGACCCGTAACCTGCGTTGCTTTGGCCGGGTACCCCCCCCCCACCCCCCCCCCCCCGTGAGAAACCGGTTTCTGGGCCATGGCGGAGGGTCCTCCATCGATCCGCGTCCAGGAAATGGGACGCGGAGCGCTCTAAACCTCGTCACGTATCCGGGGGATAAATTAAACTCCGCTATGATGGATGAGAATAACGCGCTTGGTCGTCGTCCGCATGGCGCCCGTGTCGGCGGGGTCAACAGTTCACGGAGGAGCCGATAGTTGGTGCGCCTGTTTAGCCACCTCCCTCACCGTGCCCCACCAACCCCCCCCCCCCCCCCCCAAGATTCCCCCCAGGTGCTAATTCCCGTGAAATCCTTCGGCCATGGCTGACCGTGCACAATGAGTAACCGCGCCCTGCTCATTACGCCGATGGGAGGGGGATCGCTTCATTTGCCGCGTCGCGCAGCGCCGCTTGCAGGGTCGGGAGCGGTGTGGGTGCGGCGGCGCACTCGCAGGCGAAACCCGGCGACACGGGTTCACGTCCCGGCCACGGCCGACTCCGGTGGCGGCGTGACGGCCCACCCACCGCTGTGCCTGCCATTCTTTAAAACAACGTCCATGACCCTCACGTTATTAACTAAATGGCTGGAATCAACAATAATAATGATGAACATTTGTAAGGCGCATTTCATCCGTAGGTCCCAATCGGATGGTGTGTATGTTGAACTTCTTTCACGCCGTACATAGCCAGCCGTGCTAATTGCGCACCAGCACCATATTTTCACCCCTGGTTATTCAATTAATTGTTGCGATTCAGGGTAGCAATTCCATTCTGCTTTTAATACTATGGTGATTATATCAGCCACTAGCAGCTGCAACATACAGTCCTGTGTACGAACTTAAAGACATTTATTCTCTCACATTCCCTTGAACGCTTGTATCGTGACCTTAGCAATATATGTTAATCGGCGCATCGATTAATTGTTACACTCACAGTGTCTAATACAGACAAGTACACAATTAGCATATTAAGAGGCATGTAAAGATGTCAGGATTCATCAATCAAAATCGATTCCTAAGCCCACGATACATTCATCAGGTTGTCTCTGTGAAATTGATTATCTATAATGTGTGCAAATCGCATGCTAATTGCATGATAATATTGCCATTTGGGAAAATTTTGCAAACAGAATTTGCAAAAAAATTTGACAAAAAATTACAAACAATACGAACGAGGTGGTGGCGACAACGAGACAAAATACATAGTTATGTTCGCGCAATACTCGGGTTGTGTTCTTTAGTAGTTTTAACTTCTTATACGTGCGATGTCTTACGTACATTTTGTGCAACATTAGCTGCGTCTATATACTGTATATATATGTAAACCAAATTAACCTTTTTGACAGGAGGTTGATAAAATGTTGACAGTTCTGCTGAAATTCAACTATAATTTCCCTCTGGCTTGGATGTAGACGCCTTATAAATCCAAATTGCATCGAATTGTACCGCGTATGTGTACGCGTATTTTCATCTCGCGAAAAACATCAGTCTCTGCACAAAATCCGCCCGACGTCGTGAAGAGACGCTTGCTAATAGAGCATTCAGAATCTTGATTTTACACTGCAGGACTCTGATGAGCTCCAAAGCTCTTTGACACAGATGTCCAGTAGTGAACACCCAGGCACTCCACCTGTCCGGAGGTGGTGGTGGAGGGGGGGACTAAACCCTGTGATTTCCGTTTGTGTGCCGATGTAAGGAGGGAGGGGGGGCGGGTAGTGTGGGAGTTGGGGTCACATTTCAATTGTAAAACCATTTATTCCAATTTTTTATTCCATTTGAGGGTTGTTCTTCGCAGGGAATGTCACCGAGCGGGAAATGTCACCGCAGGCGACGACGGGGAGAACCGCGCCACCATGGCCGTGCGGTCGATTAGCGCGGTCGGCCACGTACGGTGTGAAAGAAGTTTAACGTCCGTAATATATTATGGGGGCGAGGATTTAGATTGCGTAAATATAAATGTGTCGTTAAACCCGCCACCACCCGACGCAGCCAATTAGTAAGGTTTGTCTTGTAAACAAGTTCAATGTGCGCACGAGAAGCACAGATGCCGCTTCGGCCGAAGTTATTCACTCTCTTGAAGGGTTTGAACACGTGCTGTCGACAATTATTCGCGAATATATGAGCGATTATAAGAGCTCACGATCACGCTTGAAAACCCGCCACTCGCTGATCTTCCGTGCTCGATATTGCAAAAAATATTGCAAAAATAGCAACTCGCACTTTGAGCCAATTCCATTATCAGCACAATTTTATTATGCAGAGGCCCAGGACCTACCTCTCATTGAGTCTCATTAATCTGGAAGGCAAGTCAGCGTGCACCGAGTAGTAAGTTGCAGCGTCCATCAACGCACACAACCCACGCATTTCTCCCAATTGATGACGTTGGGCAAATGCTCATATTGCTCCCAGATCTGTGCTCCCTGCCTTCTCCAACTCGCGCTGACCGGCGTGGTGAAGTATGGCCAAATAAGGTCAACGACATGTACGGCGTGGGGAGGCCCTCATCCAGCAGTGGATCGACGAACACAAAGCTGAGCCTGCTCGTACAGTTGCTCAGAAGGGCTTTGTAGCGGCTGAGCTAAATATTGAGAATAATGTTTACTGCAGAGCATCGCTGCTTATGCATGCTTGTCACCCCTTATCAGTGCCTACCTTGTTACAGACCAATTCAGACCGTATTGGTCACCCCGTGCCCTTATAAATCTCAATGTTCATCCTACAAAGTCCCATCACCACAAGGGAAAAACACAAACAAATAGACAAATTTGTGTTACTAATAAAAAAACTGTTTCATGTATGATGCTACTTATCATGCTACTGTCTGTGATCGTGCATGCTTGGTGTTGCTGTTTGCTTGATATGTGGATGCACAATAAACACGGAACATGATGAATGGTTAAACAATACACTTTTTTTCTATGATTTTTTTTTGCTCGTATTGAAACGGCTGTACGCGGTATGGACCTGAAAACTCAATTTCCCTGTACAGGAATACGGGTAACCAGTATGGGTTTATATGATGTATGTATGTTTAACTTTTTTCGCACTGTATGCAGCCAACCGTGCTAATCGGATGTATGGGGGAAAGACAACACCTAAATTAAACTTTTATTTTATTTTACCAGCTGAGGCCCCACTGAGCTATATCGTTATTTTTCAGAAGCGACCTGTCCACAAATGATAGCTCAGCGAAGTGGCTTATCGCGTGGAAATATATCACGGCCAAGTACTCTAAACGCGTGATGTCGATTCTAAATGTGGAGAGAATAACTGGAGGACCCTGAGAAAAAATCCACGTGACCACAGGAAGAGAGACACGCAAACTCCAAATATACAGGCATCAGGGTCAGGACTGAACCCACGACCTTCCAGTGTTTTGTGTGTCGTGTGCGTGCCGTGCTTGTGCGGCGAGCGTGTGGCTTGTCTCTTTGTCACCTTGTGGTACCCCCCCCCCCCCCCTCCGTTGTCGTCGTTCTCCTGCCCCGCAGCTCGACAACTCTGACGAGCAGGCAGCACAGATCCGCCGGGAGCTGGACGGACGGCTACAGATGGCAGAGCAAATGGCACGGGTAGGGGTCCTCGCTGGGCATGCGCGCACACGCACACCGGTGTACCCACGCTTGTGCGCACGCGTACGCGTGGTATGCACACACGTACAAAGACAAAGATCCCCATGTATAGCCTGAACAAACTGTTGGGGCAAGTGCTGTTAGCGAGTAGCACCTATGAAGGCCGGAACACAGCACGCGAAGGGGTGGGTGGCCAAACCACGCCCGGCCGCCTTTGTCTCCCCAGTGGTGATGTTTACACCGCACCTGGTACTCATTTGACGCTGAGTTCACCTATGGAAGGCCCAGGATCGGTTCAGATAATCGTTACTGGTGTTGGCCGTGAGCGGGAAATTGATCTTGGGTCGCCGAGTTTATAGCGCAGCGTGCCAACTGCTACACGACCGCACGTGTGTGCACGCATGCACGCGCACGTGCGCACGCCGCGCGTGTATTCGTACGCACACTTGCACATATGTACTGTACGCGTGCACGTTAACGTACCCCGACTAAGCGGTGGGACTCACCTCCGTGCAGACTCGTGATCCGCGCAAATCTAATCAGTGGAAATATGGTTACCATTTCAACTTTGGCTCTTGTCATAACGCACATTATAAGTGTCACTAAACTAAATCAACGAGAGCGCCAGGTACACAAATACTGGTGTAAATTAAATCAACGACGACGCACGAACAGGCAACGCCGGTGTTGTGCGGACAATTTTGCGTCTCCTTGACAAATGCACGTTGGCAATTGTTGGCAATTTACAATTTTCTAATGCTTTTGTGCGACGTGATGATGGCAAATGGTGTTTTTTTTGGGGGTATTTCGGAATACTTTGTAGGAAATGTAATTATCAAAGTTGAATTATGACATCTAATTCACGTCGCGCTGTGTCGCTCTGTGTACCTGCAACGAATCACGGCCCTTCGGCTGGGAAATCTCGTTGAGTATAATTACGCACTTGGATGCTCTCGTTTACACGCAGCTGCTCCTGAAATTAAGCCAACAGTTACAGAGAGACAGGAAACTGACAGGAAACATGTTTGAGCAAAATATATAATTGCAACGTGCATAGCGCAAGTTTATACCCGTCCCGTTTTGGATACGTCGGTTGATTTTCAACAAAGCTGTACCCATTTTATCAAGCCCATAGAGGTTGATTGGCTGATCAAATCTTAATATATAGAGGACTGCAGAGCTTGGGCTCTTTGCCTGGCTGGCTGCCTTCAAGCTCGCCTGTGCTTCCTCAGCGATTACGAGATGCAAATTTGCACGAACGACGCGATATATATTTAAGAAAACAAGCAAAACTAAAGGTTAAGTGGAGCCTGCCCTCCGACCGGGAGTTCAACTCGCGGCCTTCCCGCTTGTGGGCTAACCGCTCTGCCACAGTGCCACCTGGTGAGAGCAGACGTGAAGAAAATCCACACCGATGGTTTTGGCCACTCTGCACTCTTCCGCACCCTCCCTGTTGGCCTTGAGGCACGGCTAAGAGATTCTATCTCTCCCCACATGGGCTGCGTCAGTGCGCCATTCCCATCTGCTCGACTGCGCATGCCACACAGCCCACGGCTAGCTTTGTAAGCATCGCCCGTTTTACACCAATATCACAAGGCTAAATTGATTGGCCTGCCGCGCATTAAAAGCCAGATGAGACAGTGACTAATTATAAACAAGTGTAAGGGAGCCTCATTGAGAATTTTCCGAATCCGATGTTTGTTATTGTTTAAGTCCAACTTGAGCCAGGGACACCAGGTGTGCACGGCTCTGTGAATGTGAATTGTGCCGCAACCATTCGTTTTATTGCCCCATAAAAAATGCATTCATCATGCCGAGTATGCAAACACAGCAAGGCTTCCCTGTGCGCAAACGCAATCGCAAGCCCATCCTGTTTCGTCAAATCGCACAAATTATTCCACAGCTTTTGAAGCTCCCACCGCGGTGGAACCGTTAGCACGCCGGATTTGCAATCCAGAGGTCGCCGGTTCGATTTCCTCCGGTGCGAGTTCCTTAAAGCGCCTCTTCCACGGCACGAACGGTAAATGGGCAGCACACCACAGGTCACTCGATCGGCAAGTCGCGCTCGGTGGGGGGCAGCGTGGGTACATCCCCCACCACTCCCCAGACGTGTGGCCAGCGTGGAACAGGAGGCCGTCTCGTCAGCACGAACTCCTAATTGCAGGGCTGCACCTTTATCTGTTTTCTCAGGGAGCTCCGATTTCCTCCCGCGTGTATAAACACTCATTCATTAGCTGAAGACGTCTTCATATGTAGAGAACCACAGAACTTGAGCAATTGTTGGTGCCAGCTGACCGATTGGGGTGCCTTCCCCCTTGTGCGTTGTTCCCCGATGAGTGATTTGCACGTACGACAACGCAATACAAAACTAAAAACATTGAGAACATTTGAAATGTGCGGCACTTTCCCACCCGCTTTGCTACAGAGCGTTGTAATGTTCGACGCATTACAGCAAAAGCTACGTTTAAAATTATCATTTGCATTTTGAGCATCATTTAAGGCTTTATTCTTTAAATAACGGACGATCTTACGTTATTTTAATTTTGTTTACGGATAATATTAGTGACGAATCGTATCTGAATGGTGTCTGGGCTCTCCTCCTTCAACAATAACAACCCACACCGGCCAGAGCGGTGAAGTATGGTTTTAAAAAAAAACATCTCTATGACAGGCAGGTCTTCATCCAGCCGTGACAAAAGCGTGAAGTAGCGTTATTGTATTATTATTATAAGCTTTTAGTGGCAGCAGTGGGATGCTGGTGAAAGTAATGGAGAATAAATCTCGGACGGAGTGCAAAGAGCTATAAATGGGAGTCACAGTCAAACAACACGCTGCTGCTGCTGCTCGTGACAGCGCTCACGTTGTGCCGTGCAGAGGCCACGCCTCCTCGTGGACAATCTCGCTGCGACGCTGCGACGTTGGGTTCCCAGGCTTCTCGGCCTTTTTTTCTTGGTTCTTTCGGTAAAGTCACGTAGAAGGGAAGTAATAAAATAATAAAAATAAAACATAATAAAATTATTCTCACGACGTTTCGGCCACAACGCAAGCAGCCGTCCTCAGGTGAAAACCAGGTACGTCGAGGCGACAGAGTCTGAATGAAACAGCACACGAGCTTGGAGCATATATATAAGCTGGGCGCCTTGACAAAAGAATTTGCATATCAAGGCCCCAGGGAGAGCCTCCCCCCCCCAGATTTTGTCGCCCACCGTAAAGATCCTCCTACATCCCGTGCCGCTCCCCGTGGCCACGAACAACGTAAGGTTTGGTTTAAAAAGAAGAAGAGTGAATAGGTTTGCTTTGTTTGGGACGGTGAGACTCTCGTGGGAAATACTCGACCCGGTTCCCACAGGGACAGAGGAGCCCCTTCTACCGGAGTTTTGGCAAAAGTGTCCGTTCACGAAAGAGATTGCTGCCTCTTGTTGCGATCTGAATAGAAGGCGACCTTTCATCTACGCGTGCGAACCGCGTCTGATAGCGCGTTGGTGACGTAGACCTTGGACCGAGATAAAAAAAACATGACAACACCGTCACTTTCCCTCCCCAAAAACTAAAAAAGCGCGGCCGTGTGTTACGAAATGTATTGTGACATGAAAAAGAATTGTAAGTCACGCATGTGAAGTTAATGCGTTCGCTAAACAATTGGGAGATATCTGACAGCGACACAGGTGGAAAGTACGTGAGAGTTATGCTCGTCTCGTGCGACATGGTGACGGAGTAAAGAGGAGGAGGAGAGCCGGGTGTGGACCGCCTTTTACAAACCGAACTATTCGTGTCTAAAGTAGCGAGATTTGAATTAACTGCCACGTCGGAAGGTATTTATTTAGAAATGCTTTTTGTGCTTAGTCTGTTGTCCTTCTCCCGCACCTCCGATTCGCACGGTTGGCTACGCACGGGAGGAAAGAAGTTCAAGGTGCACACGTGCATCGAACCGGCGACCTCTGGATTGTGACTCCAGCTGTGATGACCCCACCGGCGGCCGCTCTGCGAGTGATCAGACTCGAGCAAATTGCTCTCGGACTTGCCAGCTGCTGCGAATGAATCAAACGTTCGTGGGTTTTAATGTCGTTTAGCAATGCTGCAGTGCCACCACACGTTTGAAGGTGACTACTGCAGCTGGAAAGCGCCACGGCGTGCGTGACAGAAATGTCGAGCGCAATTTGAATAGTTTTTTATCATTGCGGGGCCTCGTTACAGGGGTTGTGAGCGCATATAAAATTATATTTCTCAACAACATCATCGTCATCGTCATCATCATCGCTGCGTGAGGGCCTTCCCAAGCCGTCGCCGTCTCTCACGATCCTGCGGCGTGAAACTCCCAACTCGCAGCTGCACGCCAGCTGATTTTGTGGCTCCGTCTCCACCGAGGACGCACGCAGGGCACGCGTTCCGTCCCCTTGATTGCCACCGTTGTTATCCTTCGCTGCGTATTAAAGTTAACCAGTCGTCAAGAGAACAGTTGTCCGCTGGTCAGGGAATTTTTTTAAAATCAAAAAACATAAAGCGCATGTGTGACTTTCACATTGCTACCTCCTTCTCTTCCAAGCATTCTGAATGCCTCACTCAGTACTCTCTACTGAAACTGAATTGAACGTTTGTCAGTGGCTTTCGCAAAGTGTCCCTCTGTTTTAAATTTATTTGTGCATCGCAATTTGATTCGTTGAAACCTTTAGGGTGAGTGGTGTCGCCGCGTGGTTAGCGTACGGTGCCGTTGAGCCCGGCAACCTGAGTTCGATTCCTGGCCGCGGCTAACAACAACAACAACAGCATCGACGACGGCGAGTGATCTCCGAGCTGCTGATGGGGCGCCGAGCGGCGTGGTGAAGTATGGTCAAGCGACCCCCGCCCACGTGATTGAAACGGCGTAGGAAGGCCTTCATCCAGCAGTGGAGCGACAGGGAGGTATCTGAGTGCCCACTCCACCTCCTCTACTTACCATCCAGCAATGACCAGAAATGGTGAAGTATGGTCAAAGAGTACCTGTGACTGAAAAGGCATGGGGT